AACACTCTGAGCTTCTCCTCCCAAACCTCAATCCCAACACTCTGAACTTCTCCTGTGAACACTCTGAATTCTTTTTCTCATTCATGTGCCATCAAAACCTCCACCCCAAGTGTGTGACACCTGCAGCACACCCACGCTGTCCCCACTGGGATCTTCCCCCTGGCACGTGCCCAGATCCCCTGGCACAGCCTGTTTTCCCTCTCCAACTCACCCTGGAGCCATGGCAGCTTACCTTACCCATTATCTTCCTGCCGTTCATGGCAGCCAGGGCTGCGGCCGCGTGCCGGTGCTCGTAGAACTCCACGAAGCAGTAGGGATCATTGCCAGCTGTCTGAGACAGGAAACGAGCCAGGGATTAGGGACACAAACCTCCTCAAACTGCCTGTCCTGCCCAACCTCTGACTGCTGACACCCCAACAGCCCCGTGTGGACAGTAAAAAAAAAAACAAAAACCCTGATGAGTAAAAAAAACCCTACAATGCTCACAGATGTCACAATTCTGTTTAAGATTTCAAAATTATGGCAAAGATTGTTTTAAACCTCATTTACAATGCCCCACGTGATTTAACGAGTTTATTTCACCTCGCTGTGTTCACTCATCCTTGAATATCAGGCACAGGGCAGAAATGATSCCAAAACCATCTTCAKATTTATTAAATGCAGCTTAAACGTCCCCATTTCCAGGGGAATTCCCAGATACACAAGCACACCTCTGAGGAATGTGGGTATCAGAGGATTCGGGCTCTTACATCCATGATCATCTTGCAGTTCTTGCAGGGTCCAATCTGGCTGAACAGTTGGAGGATCAGAGCCTCGGTCACGTCCCTGGAGAGGTTCCCCACGTACCTGAGGGTCAAACACAGGGATGGATATGGATGTTGGATACACTGACAGCTGGACAGGGTCTTGGGACAAGGGGTGGAGTGATAGGAAAAGGGGGAATAGCTTCCCATTGCCAGAGGGATAGGATATTGGGAAGGAATGAGGGTGGGAAGGGGCTGGGATGGAATTCCCAGAGCAGCTGTGGCTGTCCCTGGATCCCTGGGAGTGCCCAAAGCCAGGCTGGAGAACCCTGGCACAGTGGGAGGTGTCCCTGCYATGGCAGGGGTGGCACTGGGTATGTTTTAATGTCCCTTCCCACTCAAACCATCCCATAATTCCATGATTCTATGAACTCGATCAGCCAAACTGATTTCTCAATACAGAAACTCCAGTTCCCATATCCCCACAGCGATATCCCAGTACAAAAACTCCAGTTCGCATATCACCAGTGACTTCCCAGTACAGAAACTCCAGTTCCCATATCCCCACACCATTTCCCAGTACAGAAACTCCAGTTTCCATATCCCCTACACCATCATCTCTTCCCAAGCACCATTTCCCAGCAGCCCCAGCAGCTCAGGCTGCTGTTTGCCCACGTTTTACACAATTCGTCAGTTCCTTCCAAAGGTTTTGGAGGCATCAGATCTGCCTGGAACAACCGAGAGCCAACGTGCTCGAGCGCACACATTCCTGACTTGGGCAAAGACCAGCCTCCCCAAGCACAAACACATCCCAAATCCCTGCTCCCACCTGGGATTTTGGCTCCCTGGGCCACCAAGCCCATCCGTGACCCGTGGGTGGTTGTTTTTGTTGTTGTTGTTGTCGAGCCCAAGTCACGGGATTTTTATAAAAAGCCTGGTGAGAAACCTCAGCCCCCGAGGTGCGGCTGCAGCTTCCCGCAGAGGAATGCTCTGTGGGAAACCTCTGCCACAGGAATCCCAGCCAAATGCCAGTGCTGAAACCATGCTGGGGCACCTGCAGTGCCCCCTGAGCTGCTGCCACAGGGGTGAAGGGGCTGTGAGGAAACAAATCCAGGCTCTGCTCGTGCTACTGCTGCCGACACGAAGCAGGGACGCTGCCAGAGGGATGCGCTCCGAGGTTTGGTTATGCAGGAAATGTGAAAAAGGAGACAGAGCCTGGTTTTCTGCCAGGGAWGGGTCATGCAGGAGCTCTGTGTTTATCATTTGGACAACTGTTCTAGGTAGGAGGCAGGATTGTGTTTTAAAATCACCACACAGAGCTTTAGAGGCATTTTCTCATTTTAAGTGAGTGATTCCTGYACTTCTGACAAGTTYCATTAAAATTTTAAAGAAAGSAGGGATTAGAGCAGTTCATTAAGGYATTTAACAGCAGGACTTTCTCCCYCACAGCACAACYGAGAGTGGGAATCACTGAGGTTGGAAAGGACCTCCAAGATCATCAGGTCCWAACTGTGACCYGTCACCACCTTGCCAACCAGAGCAGAATTAGCAAGGCCTCTCTTTGACCCCCTCTTTTTTTTKAAATATAATTATTTGGATAACAGATCAATGGAGGCACCAGAGCGGTGAGCCTCATGTGACTCCCTGGGTCCCAGTTAATTAATTTGTGACTGGAGCTTTCCCAAACAGGGTGTCCTCACTCTGACCTCTGCACTCACGGGATTTCACCCTGATAAACAGGCGTCTCCTGAAGCGTTCCTGACCTCAGCACTGGGTTTAGCTGGAGAAAGCAGGTTTTAGCGAAGCGATTCCCAACACCCCCATGAATCTCTGCATGCCCAGATTTTCCCAAAGGCATTCCCTCAAGGATCCACTGCAGGAACACAAGTGTGTCCACACATACACACACAGAGTGCGTGCAAGGTGGATGGGGAACACCCAGAGCTGCAATCCCCTCTGTGCCATCAACTGTTTCCGAATTTTTCCATGGAATTTTGTTACAGTTGCACTTCCACGTTCCACGGAACTGGCAGAGAGGATCCAGCACTGGATCACACACACAGAACAATCCARCATTCAGATGGCCCTGCCAGGCAGAGAACACACGTGGAGACCTCAAAGATCTCAACCCTGGCTCTTCCTGCACCTCTCCCACCCCTCTCTTTCCTGCTAATTGGACAGGAACCCAATTAAAGAGCCAGTTGATGACTCCTTGCAGATGAAGGGCTACAAGTTTATCTTCYTGGGGAAGCCAAACCCAACTGCTGCCAGCGCTTGTGTGTGCTTCAGACAAATTAAATGAGGACACATATCCCACGTGCACCCACAGGTTTCCACGGAAAACAAACAGGAGGACTCTGTCACTCCCAAGGCTGCCTTGTAACTGCTCTGCAGAGCCACAATCTGCTGCTGAAGAGTGGCTTTCCACGAAGGGAGAAAGAGCTGCCTCTCCAGGAATTCAATTCCAGGAGGAAAACAGCTCCTAACGGAACACAGGGCTCTGCACCCCTCCTCACTGACATGGGTGAGGTGGAAAAGGCAGAAATAAGGAGTTACTCCCAGGAATGTCTGGATTCTGTTCCAGATAAACAGCTGGGATGTGCTGAAGGAAGGAAGGAAGGAACAGGGTGCAGAGGGCTCTGGGGGTCACACCACTGGGTAAGCCCCAAAATCCTAACCCAGTGGGGGTTTTGGGAGCAGAAATCCTACAGRAATCCCTGTTTGTGCACGGATTTAACACCCACTCAAGTTCACCTTCACCTGCATTTTCTACCTTCGACTGCTTATTGTAAACCCGTGACACCCAGCTGGTAACAATTCCCTGTGTGACCCCAGAAAATCACTGGGAGGGAGGCAGAGAAAAACCTGTGTGACCCTAGAAAGTCACTGGGATGCAGAAAAACCCCAGCATGATCCCAGAAAGTCACTGGGAGAGAGTCACAGAAATCCCTGTACGACCCCAGAAAGTCACTGGGAGGGAGGCAGAGAAATCCCTGTGTGACCCCAAAAAGTCACTGGGAGGGAGGCAGAGAAATCCCACTCTGTTTAAGGCTAGACTCGGTGATTCTGGACCTGTTTTCCAGCCTCACTGATTCCCTGTCTGTGCCACCAGCTGCACGTGCTCCAGGACAGGCACACGCCAAGGCCACCAGGCCCCACACAACCCTTGGGATAGGGRGGAAAACACCTTCCCAAATAAACACACAAACACACCAGTGGCTCTGACCGTGTTTGCAGAGGCCAGGAATAGCTCCCAAAATGTGGGAAAACACCGGGATTGGGAAGCAGAGAGTGGTCAGTGCTCAGGACAGCTGGGGTGAGGCACGTCAGGGTCTTGTTTTCCTGTGGTCACTTGGCCACAGTCGTTTCTCAAGCCCTGGGAGGGGCAGCAGTGTCAAGGCACAACATTCCCTCATCTTAGAATGATTCCCTTTCCCTCCTATCTTTCCTGCTGCACTGGAGAACAAGGCTTAAGGAGGTTGTATTGGGAATTGGAATTTCAATTGGAATCTGATTTCCCTGATCCCAACAAGGGAAAWCTGCTACAGGTAACACCTGCCTGGGAAAAGGAGGGAAACACAGCCCAGGTGTGCATAGGAACCGTACTTTTTGCTAAAATCCAACCTAAACCTCCCCTGATGTGGCTTCGCAATCAATTCTTTGGGAAGCAACAGGTTCAGAGTGCTTTGAACACTGGGACAAGCACTGGGTTCATGGGCACCTCCTGGTCATTTTGATGGGCATCTCCTGGTCATTCCCATGGAGCTGCTGACCATGGTAGGGAGGCTCCACCTGTTTGCCAAGGTAGCTCCCCAGAGAGGGGGAAAAATCCAGCCACGTGCTGACAAAAACCTATATGGATCATGCAGGATGATAAGATCATCATCATGGAATGGTTTGGGGCGGGAGGGGCTTTGATTATCCAGTTCTATCCCCTGCCATGGGTTGGGATGGATTGGGGAGAAGGCCACACACTTTCCAGATCCTCTTTCTTTCCAGGGGAAGKGGGGTGACACCTTCCAGACCACTTCTCCCTCCAGATGTGACCTGGGATGGATTGGGAAAAGGGACACACACCTTCCAGACCCCTTTTCCCTCCACATGTGAGTTGGGATGTACTGGGGAKAGGACACACACAGCTTCCAGACCCCTGTCCCTCCAATATGAGCTGGAGGCCCAGGGTAACGCCCGGAGCATAGGGCAGGCCGGCGGTGCCCAGCACTGGGACCGGGGAAAGGGCAGGAATACCGCGGGAGCCGAGCTCCCCCCGCTACCGGAGCCCCGGGCGGGGGTGGCTCCCTCAGCACTGCGGGCAGCCGAGGGTTCGCGGCGGAGCCCTGAGGGGCCCCGTCCGTGAGGCGACCCCGGGCCGCCCCTCCCCGCGGAGCCGGGAACAATAGGCGGTCTCGCCCCCTCCCCACTCACAGGGTCTTGGGCATTTCATCCTCCATGGCGCCGCCGCCGCCCGCCCCGGCTCTTCCCCGCCCGCCGGGGC